CCTGTTCAAGGGGCCAGAAGGAAAACACGGAGCTGATGCCCTCCTGGCCCTAATAATATAGAAAAAAGTGGCAAGAATTCCTTTCTCTTCTCTATTCTTTTTAGGTATGTTTAGAAAAGAAACACAACTGACATGTGAACAGTGCCAACACTACATAGCTATGGATTGAGAAATCAGCACCTCAATCAAGAAAAGGAACTCGTAGAAGAGGAAGTTTGGCTAGATCAATGATTTCCTATTTGTGAGTTATGGACCAGCCCCATGGGGATCCAAGGGATTTTTACATAAGGACTATGACTCCATGTGCATTTCAGTCACAAACTGTAGGATGAATGAATGACAATATCTCAACACATATACATATCCCCAAATAAATTAAATGTACATACATGAAATATACAATGTCTATATCAGAATAGATAAGACATGTTGCACACTTGGCTTTGTACCTGATCCTCGAGAAGAGATCAGCATTTATCAGGTACATACACACCATGAGCAGACAGGCTTTTGCTCTTTCATTATTTCACATCCAATTTTATATGGGCCACACCTGGTTTTACAGAACTGAAGCTAGCAGATTGATTCTTCTTTCTCCTTTCCAATTTTGGAGAAAGGCACAAAAGCCAATGCACGAGAATAGTCTGAGGCTGATCTCCCCTGTGCTAGACGTGTCCCATGGCGCACAAAATTCCTGTCCAAAGCCTCCACCTCTGGATCCAGCTGCAGAAGACGTCACAGCCCACAGGCTCTATACTTTGTGCCTCACTGTTTGAGTTTCATTTCCCCATAGGTACAAAGTGAAATATAGATTAGAGACCAACAGCAGGTCGAATCTGGGCATAGTGATGCTGTTTATGTGTTGAACATGTGTACTGAGACTAAAAGCGTGTAGTAAGAAGTGAAATCAAGACACTTTGTTAATTTCAGCAAGCATGAGCTTTTGATGTGGACAGGCTGGGTGAAGAGGTAAGCAGCACACTGCCTCTAGATACTGGGTATAAAACTGGAAGGACAATTTTTTATTATATAAAAGATACATATCGTTTAACTGGTGCATCACGCAGCTCTGCCAGGATAGAGTGTAGCTATAGTTTAATCTTAGTGTTTTGTGCTCCTTCTGAATTCAGGCTTTGTTCCTCTATACTGTGAAAATTAGGGTGTGGCTTATTCTTTCTAATGCCAATGTTAACAGTTGGTTTTTATTTGGGGAGAGGTTGGGCATCTGGGTAGTTTGGTTTGTTTTTTAAGCTTTAACGAACTGCTTTTGTTGAACCTGCTAAATGTTTGTTGTTTCTGCTACCAAAACACTTCCTTCATTCCAAAGCTGGACACATGAGTGAAAGCTTTAGAAATGAAAGTGGCCTTTTTAAATCCAAAACTCATACTCTCCAAACTAGGAATAGCATCTTTCAATGAGCCCAACTCCATTAGAAGCTACCTAGACAATCTGGGGCTTTGGAGAAAACCTTTAGATCATTGTTTTTCAACCCTTTTTTAATCTCAGGGCACACTTGAAGCTATAGTTAAATTTCCCCAGCACACTTAAATTATGTTGATTAAAAAAAAAAA